ATTATGAGAACTTCAGTGTTGCGATAAAACTTAGTCATTGACATTGATGCACAGAGGCAGGAAAAATGAAGGCCATGCTTGCCACTCCTAGGCACAGACAAAACCCTGAATGGCTATGGGCTCTGCCTGTGAATACAGCCATAGCATCCTGCCATTCAGGTCCAGCTGCACATTAGGCCACAGGAAAGCACCACCACTATACATGGCTCATGGCATGTCTGAAGGTTTAGAGACTGATAAGTATGCAATGAAATCAGTAAAATGTATAGGGAAATGACTTCAAGTCCATTCTGCTTTATAAACCAAGGATTCTTCCCTAACTCATGTTTCAATAGATATTTATGTGTCTTCTGTTCTCAAATCTTATGTTTAGAGGACTGATTAAGCTCACAATCTGATCATCTGTCCCACATAGTTTTCATCTTTGTCCTGCTTCAGCCTTCCAACTGCTCAGATTTGCGTGAGCTACTCTGCCTATCTTTAGAGTGTTTTCTATTAGGAGGGAAGATTCCTTTAGTGAAGAGACAATAATAAAAAAACATTAAAAAAAGGAAAAGAAAAGAAAGGTGTTTTCCTCATGATTTTGTGTAATGACTAATAATAATTAGATATATCACATATTAAGGATATTTTAATGTGTGCACAAGCTAGTATTATTACTGAGGAGTGAAGTAGTAATAATTCAGTAATTCCATCAATGCTTCATATGAAGATAAATAGAATTTGGGCTCACCAGTGCTATCTCTATTTATATGAAAAATAGCATCTATCTCTTTATCTCTTTCTGGAGCCATCTGTAACTCTGGAAGAACATAAACACAATCACTTTATACAGGAGGGTCAAGGCAAAGCCCATGTGTTGCTGACTTGCCTTTCCTCACTGAACTTGTGCTGACATAGCCAGGGAGAATTGGCACTTAACCATCTATTTTCAGAGACAAGACATCTAAATTCTGGGGACTTCCATGCACTAGTTCAATGGACAACGTATCAGCCATACCTGAAGAGATGATCACTGCATTTTCCTCATGAATGTGGTAGGATTTGCCCAAGCCAAGGAAAGAGCACGTGTGCACAGGGAACTCCACTCCTATGCTGTTTGGTTCATTCAGCAAGATAGGCTCTGATTTAGCTGAATGTATAACAAGTGTTTTTCCACAGCCTAACTTTCTACCCACCACATAAAGGGTTCTCTTGCTCAGCGCATATCACAAATGGTCCTTCATGGACACTGGTGAAGAATCTGCACTCTTCCCATGGTGGTTGACCCCATTAACCAGATGGAATTGCAGATTTACTGATGAAAAAATAAATATTGTAAATGGTTGCAATTATACAATAAATCAGAATGGTTTTCTGGTCTCCTGGGAAATACTTGACCACAAATGGGAAAACTCCTTTAGACTGCAGAGTCTCCTGGGTTAAATATGTAGTGACCTTACCGGAACTGCAGAGATTTTGCATCCCCAAAGAAATAAAAATGATCAGTAAGGATTAGAGAAACAAGAAATGGAAATAAATCTACAATAATCTAGTAAGTAGTCTCAAGTTGAAATTGTCAAATCTTCCTGCTAAAGTTTAACTTTTATCATAGAGTGCTGCATAAGATATAAGTATTTGGGAAATATCATGAAAATTCCCACCCTGTGTAGATAGTATCTTTTACTAAATATATTTCAAGAGACTATATAATCAGTCAGCATCTGTATAAAGAAGATAATAATAAAGGGGCTCTATCCAGTTTTTCTTCTTAAAGCTTTCACAAAATAACTATCTTTTATTTGTTCACAAATTCTTAATTCCCCACCACTGACAAACAATCTGAGGTACAATATCTCAGTATAAATTCTGAGGTGATTTCACTGACCTTATCAGACCCAAAAACTTCAACTCTTGTTGCATAGGTCCTTCATTACCTTTGTCTTAACCACCTAGCAGAAAAGTATAAAAACGAAGTATAAGAAGCAAAGCCATGCTGTTATGTTGAGCTACAGGGGACTCAGGTCAACAATTTCTGACATTGCCAGTGAAGCAGAATACCCAATACTATTATGGGCTACTGAACTCTTGTAGATTATTTTGCTGAGTTAACACACCTATAATAGTCAAATAACAGAACTTAACAAAAAGGGGGATACAGATGAATGTCCATTTTGTATCTGGGTATTCAAAGTGGTTAGGATACACATATAGTTACATTCTCTTAATGAATAGAGTGATTTATTCTAATGATGTTTGTAGATAGGTTATCATGTCCACATCTTGTACAGCAATTAACCACTGGGAGCAATGTATGCAATGTGTTAATTATTGAAACTGTCGCACCAATTTGATATGAAACTGTCTCATTGCTATTTGTTTAGCAATAAAATTATTGAAAAAATAAAATAAGCCACAATGTATTTTGGAAAAAAAATAAAGATAGGCAAATTAGCGCACACACATCTGAGCAGTTGGAAGACTGAAGCAGAACAAAGATGAAAACTATGTGGGCCAGAAGAGCTTGAGTTCAATCCCTGGTTCAAAAAAACAAAAAACAAAAACAAAAAACAAACTTTATTGGCTACAACTAAAAAATTGGGAATGCAAAATGTCCAACGGTGTTAGATTTTTGAGAATACAGTGTATACTACAAGTGTTAAAATTACAAAGATTGGCTAGAGAAGTTGTTCAATGGTTGATCAGGGTTTAGTATGGCCACTCATGTCCACAATTCAATCCCTAGAACAGCAAAACCAAAAACAAAACTTACATTTTATTTCTTGGAAACAAAATATATGTCCATTAAAAGATGAATCCATAAAGAAAAGGTGTTATTTGTACTCAATAGAGTACTTCACTGGAATACAGGACAAATTTGAGTCTTTTCTAGGAAAATGGGTATTCCAAACACTATAATTTAGGTGAAATAACTTGGGCCCACAAGCTTGAATATCCCAAGGCTTCCCTTATATGAAAAACTCAATAATATGAAGTATTAAATGAAAGACAGATAATAGTTGTTATGGTTTGTGTCCAGTCCCCCCAACCCCCGAAGCCTTCATGCAGTTATGGAACTGCAGGCTTCTAGAGTTTGTGATTAATATATGATCCAATGTTTTGATTATAGCTAGAAGTGATGCTGGGATTAAGGGTGTGAGTGCAACATACACTCTGGGGAAGATAGTCTGGATGCAGTATAGGGAAAAGAGAAAAGCTTGCTCTCTGCCACTGCCACTGCCACTGCCACTGCTCATGTCTTTTTGCCCTTGCTACTTTGCTGTTATCCATCACCATGAGCAGCTTCCCACTGCTATGTGCCACCCTGCTTTGGAGCCAGCTGATTATGGATTCAAGCCTCCACAAACCATGAACTAAATAAACCTTTCCTTCCTTAATGCTGGACGTTGGATAGTTCATCTCAGCAATGAGAGAAAAGTAATGGAGACAATTGGAAAAGGAGAGAGAAGAAAAAAATATTTCAGTTTAATGTGGAAAATGTGCATAAAAGTGTACTTTGACTCAGCCAATGTTCTTACATATTTTGTATGTTCTTTAGCCTAGTAACCTGGTTCTCAATCTGTGTTTATGATACTTAATTTGTAAGATAAACTAATCTGATGCAGAAAAATTGAAACAGGCATAGAAAAAAAGAAAAATAAATGAGTTATGAACATGTGAATGAAATCATTATGTATTAAAAGAGACAGTAACAAAATTTTAAAAGATTTCCAAAGACAGTGACAATTTCAATGCTTTTCAAATCTCTACAGTTTCTATCATTCCTGGAGAATTTCTGATTTTTTTTATTCTGATGCCTCAGAATCTATGATTCATTGAACACTGGCCTGCCTTTACAACCCAAGAGACAGTCCATTATTAGGTCTACATGGACCTGGACTGACCAACTTGGAGATTCGAGAGCCAGTGTCATAGGGCACATTTTCTCCAGTGGTATATGCCCGGTAGAGAAACTGTGAAAAGCGGGAAGCCAACAGCCAATGTCAAAGACTTTGGAAAGTCGAGTAGATATTCCCTTATTCTTTTGCCTACTGAACAACCCAATCATCCACTCCCTACAATGAAATTCTTGAAATCCCAGTCCACAGGAATGCAAGAAAAATCAGAGGTCAACTGACTGCATGAGAACTACAGTCAAATCTTCTTCCTGTGCTGTTCTGTAATGGGTTTAGGTACTTGGGTAACCAGCACACTGCCCACAACATGTCTGGTGCAACTGTGTTGCTCAACTCATGTTTCATATCTAATTTCTATTACTCAAAAACACATCAGGGAATCTGTATCAGATCATAAGACACACTAACAAAATGAAAAGAGAAGGATAAAGAAGGCAGAAATATCCACAAAAAAAGATGGAATTAGCACAAGAAAAATCTCAATTTAACCAATATATTTAGGAGAAATAGAACAGGGAGAACCAATGTTTAAATGGATAAAAAATAATCTTAGCACAAAATTGCTTCAAACATGAAAGAGATTACAACTAAACATGAAGCATTTTTAAGACAAATTTAGAGGTTGAAAGAGTTTTGATAGAAGCTATTATAGTTTGTGTCTAGTTGTCCCGCCAAAACCTCATGCAGCCATGGGGTAGAGATAGACTCTCTGAAGTATGTGATTGATTATTGTGGGTGTGGATGTTGTACCTGCCCTAGGGCAGGTAATTTGCATTACAATGCAAGGAGGGAAAAGAAGCTAGCTACTTGAGCTGCTACCACTCCTCCTTTTTGCTCTCTTCCTCTATTCCTTTTACTCTGCTTCATGCAATCTATTTCTTTCATGTATTGCTTATTTAAGGATTCCATTGCTTGTCTATTCTCCTCTATGTTTTTATCAACATCTTCTTTAGAAGCAGTTATTAATTCTTTCATTATAAGTATTCTTTCTTTATTTACTTCAGATATTATTTCTGATCTGATTTCCTCTACACATTTCTGCAGTTGTTTCTTTACTTCAGATGCTATTAATTCAGAGATTTCTTTTTTATTTCAAGGGTTATTAAAAATATGGAATGCTCCATGAATTTGCATGTTTTTCTTGCAGAGGGGATGTGCTAATCTTCTCTGTATCCTTCATGTTTTTAGTATATGTGCTGCTGAAGTGAAGACTCTTGTTATATTCTTCTGCCATGAAAGGTTGCTCTCTCCCACGTGCCACTCTGCCTTGGAGCCAACTGAATATGGACTGAAACCTCCGGTAACTGTGAGCAAATAAGTTTTCTCTTCCTTCATTTTGAGTGTTGAGTATTTGTCCCAGAAATGAAAGAATAACTTAGACAGAAGCAAAGGTAGAATTAGTGACTTAGTCCTAAAATGAACATAATTTTTCTTGAAAATCAAAGCTTTCAAGACAGAATTAAGGGGCTGGGGAGATGAACCAGTGGAATAAGGACTCCCCTGGCAAGTGCAAGGGCCTGAGTTCAATCACCAATTCCACCGAAGAGAGAGAGAGAGAGAGAGAGAGAGAGAGAGAGAGAGAGAGAGAGAGAATTAAGTCATAAAAGAAAAGTGAGACACATAAAAGTACATAAAACACAAATCATTCTAAAGAGCACAAGGGATGAAGAGGAGGAGTTGGAGGAGGGGGCAGAGTACAGGAAAGAGAAAGAGGATGGAAGGAAGAATAATAAGAGAAATATGGAGTATGGCAGAAGCTGTATTTGAAAAGTGTGCAAGAAGATTAAAGTCCTGCTGAGTCTCACCTGAACAGACAAGTGCAACAGCCCCACCATGCTGGCAGCTGCTTCCAGCACAGGGCACTCTAGGACACAACCAGACCACAGGCTCCTGCCCCGCACACTGGAACTCTTCAGTCCACACTCGCTCATTGGGCATTTTGGTCACATTCCTCAGGATAGACACAGCCTTGCCACATCTCAGCTCTGCACAGATGACCTGGGCAGTGCAGAGCGTGAAGTTCACATCAGACACCAGAATCCAGTCTCCTCCAGGATTCACTTCCACTCATCCTGAGCAGAGTCCATGTTCTCCACCCAAACGCACAAATCCTGTGGGAGAGAAAAACGAACACAGTGAGTGTATATGATCCAAGCTTAGACAGATCAACTACTGTGTAAGTCAATGTGGAGATTCCTCAAAGTGCTTGAATTAGAGGTCTCATTTAACCCAGCTATTCACTTTCTGAGTATCTTGCCATAAAAATTAAATACATCATGTCACAGAGATACATGTGTACCCATATTTATAACAGCTCAGTTTGTAATAACTAAACCTTGGAAATAACCCAAATGCCCATCAAACAAGAAACAGAATTTTTTAAATGTGATATTTTCATACAATGTAGTACTAATCAGACATAAAGAAGAATAAACTAGAAACTTTTGTAGGTAGATGTACGCTTCCAGAAACCATGATGGTAAGTGAAATAAGCCAAATGTAAATGTACATACATTGTATTGTCTCTTTGGTGTGAGAAACTGAAATTGTTGTTAAGATCTAAAATGTATAATAGAAATTGTGAAATAGGAACAATTGTTCAAAAGAAAAAGTAAATAGATTATGGGAAAATGAAAAGGATAGAAGGGAAAATGAATAAATGCAAATCAGTTATGCTATTAATGTCTTGCAGGTCATTGAAAAGCAACTTTTGTACTAATATTAATTATAGAAATTTTAATGCTCATATCTGATATTCTGATATGATAACTACTCTATGTATTTAGTACAAGGTCTACAGTGTCTCACTACTCAGATAGAAATATTTCTATCTACCTCTTTCTATCTGAGTTCAATCCCTGGTTCTATGAAAAACAAACAAAAAAAAGAAAGAAGAAAGAAAGAAAGAAAGAAAGAAAGAAAGAAAGAAAGAAAGAAAGAAATATTTCTCTGTACATTTTCCTTTCCAAACATTGTGTGTAGAACTCAAATGTGTCATAGATGCTTAGCTATATACTGCCAAGTCATATAATGTTGGATATAATAGAGTTCTAATGGACATATATAATAGGAAGAGATAGAAAGATTTCATAGTGATTCTCCTGTTTTCAGCCTGCCCAGCACTGGCATTACAGGCACATGGTGAGCTAGTGGCCAAGTCCGGGCGTGGTGGCAAACAACTGTCATCCCAGTTCTGGGGAGGCTGAAAAGAGGAGGATCACTACAAGTCTGAGCTGCATAGTGAGACCCTGTACCAAATATATAAATTTAAAAAAAAAAACATTTCCATACTGCCTTTTTCAAAATGCAAACAATCTTTCAAACTTTACAATTCATCAAAAACCTCAGAAAATGCTGAATTTATAATACAGATGAAACAATGGCTATTTTTTGGGTGCAGCTTTATGAGCAAGGCAAAAACTCCCAAATACATTTCTCTTAGTTCCTGAAGCTCTTAGGAATAAAATACACTTGATCTTAACCAAAAAGCAGAGAAAGGATGTCATCATGGCTAATCTTTCTATCTCTTCCTATTATATATGTCCGTTAGAACTCTATTATATCCAACATTATATGACTTGGCAGTATATAGCTAAGCATCTATGACACATTTGAGTTCTACACACAATGTTTGGAAAGGGAAATGTACAGAGAAATATTTCTTTCTTTCTTTTTTTCTTCTTTCCTTTCTTTCTTTCTTTCTTTCTTTCTTTCTTTCTTTCTTTCTTTCTTTCTTTCTTCTTTCTTTCTTTTTTTGTTTGTTTTTCGTAGAACCAGGGATTGAACTCAGATAGAAATAGGTAGATAGAAATATTTCTAATAGAGGTGTAGAGAGAACTGATGATTATCTGTCTTCAACTCATAGATCTTGGGGATTTCCAAGCAAAGGAGGAACACTATTCATGTCTGGATGTGACAAAGAGAATTCAAAATATGCCATAAGCCAGCACTGTTCTACTAAATTTATGAGAATAATAGAAAGGATTTGGAAACTAGCTTAAAACAACTACTATATGCTTTGAGACTTTAAAAGATCTTGCTCTTTCAATTAAAAATTATTTAATTTTCTTAAATGATTACATTTTCATTGGGATTTTAAGTTTTCACAAGAAAGAATGTGTGTAAAATTTGCAAAGGGATGAATAAAATAAATATGTAATTTGAAGGGATTAGGCATGCATGAGAAATTCTATGAAAAATGTCATGGCCATATGAAACAATAGCCTGACAGCCTATTGAAGCAGAGCATAGATATTGTATAATATCTGAGCATAAGAAGTTAGTATTTTGAAAGCTTATACTTCAAAAGTCAGAATACCCATATTTTTATAGATTTAGTATCTTAAGCATAGGTCTAAAAATAATAAAAGTAAATGATATTACTTTCCACTTTGCACATTTTACAGAAGTTGTATACAAGTTCAGGAAATCATGTCATAGGAAGGGAGAATATATTTTATTTGAGATGTATGTCAGCTGATTATTCAAAAGACTGTCCTGTTGTAGATCTTTCCTGTGAACATAAAATTTGAGTTAAGTCATCTATCAGGATTATAAATTTCCACATGAACTTGTATCATTCACTTCTGTGATATAACAGAAATCTCATTTGTGTTTAGGGGAGGTGAACATTTTTGTTTAAAAAAACATTTTTTGTTTTGTTTTGCGTTGTAATATTAGAAGATGAGACAGGAAACTAAAAGTGGAAGATTCCTGTGCTGAAGTCCTCAGGGAAGAATTCTTCCTTTTGCCATCTTTTCTTGTCATGCTACTTGCTGACATCTTATCCGTGTCCTGGCTTGAAGGTGCATCACTTCAGCCCTGGCTCTGTCTTCCCATGGCTGTTGTCTCTGTGACTGTTTGTGTGTCTCTTTTCCTCTTCAAAGGACAACAGTCACAGTGGTTTCAAAGCATCAGAAAAAATAACAGGGAAATCAACACAAACAATATGATAAAAATGGGCACCAGTTCAAGCTCATACTGCTGTGCGAGATGACTTTTCTCCATCTGAGATATTTCAGTGAAGATTAATGAATCCTCTACTCTGAGACTTCACAGTCTAGGACAGAGAAACCTCACAGTTTGATCGCCTATACAACATCTTTCATTTTGTCCTGCTTGAGATTTCCAAGTGTTAGAATTACAGACATAACCCATCATGCCTGACTTTAGAGCATTTTGTGGGGGGAGGAAATTTAGCTTAGTGAGTATGCAGTGATTAAAAACAACAGAAAATTTTTTTTGTTTCTTTTGAAAGAAAAAAAGAAATTCAAGAACACAAAAGTAAAAGCAAAGATATTTTCCTCATAGTTCCTTTAAACATGATGACTGATAGTAAATAGATAACATAAATTAAAAAATTTTAGTATATGCATAAAATTATTACTAGTGAGAAATAAATTTTAATAATTTATTAATTTATGAATGTTATTAAATGAGGTAAAGTCAAATTTGAATTCACCAGAAGCATCTATATTTATTTGAAAATATTTTTTATATTTTTTTCTCTCTGATGTTACCTACTAATAAGTCAATCAATTAATTGTTTAATTAATTTTTTGAAACAGTGTCTGGTGTGTTGTTCAGGTTGGCACTGAACTCACGTTGTATCCCAGTCTGGTCTCAAACTCATAGATCCTCCTGCCTCTGCCTCCTGAGTGCTGGGATTACATGCGTGAGCCAGCACACCTGGCTTGCCTGCTATATATTTATTTAAGACTATAAATATGGTTGCCCCAGACATGAGGGCCATATTAAATCCCAACTGATACTGACTGGCAGCTCCTCACTGAACTTGTGCCACCTCAGTACTATTGAGTGCATGGTCTTCCGCAAGTCTAAAGGACTTAAGCAATTGAGACTAAAGATTGGATGTACCTGGGATATGTTTTACACAGGACACAAAAAGATCTTTTCTGTACCTACACTTGAAATGTCAGCTAGAGGGCAGACATTAAGTCAGAGAGCTTATTTATTTTTAAGAAAATAAGGAACTTAAACTTCTATTGTTTATCATAAATGTAATCAGTGTTATCTTCCCTATCTAGAACTCTCTCTTAATATCTTTCTTTCCTAATATCTTAAATGATATGTGGCAATGGCCTCTTTCAAGATAACTTTAAAAATTCTCACATTAGAAACTCTAAGGAGCACTGGGAATGTTCACATATTTTGCCTTTATTTGATGGCAAAGTAAACAAAAACCTGGAAAA